AATAATAGCTATCAAACAAGCATTGGCATGGTCTCGTATGGGACATTATATGGACGACCCTGTAGGTTGCCGATCTGCTAGGAAGAGGTGGACATAAAAAAATTATTTAGCCCAGATCTTGTAGAGGAAACTACAGCCAAGCTAGTTAAAATGAGAAAAAATATCCAGACAGCTCAAAGTATGTAGAAGAGTTATGCGGACACTTGGAGGAGGGATTTGAGAAATGCGATTGAGTGTTTCTTAAGGTCACCCTTTTAAAGGAAATCAACAAGTTTGACAAGAGGGAAAAATTAAATCCTCAGTTCATTTGGTCATTAGACAGAATTGGTACGACTGCCTACAGACTGACACTACCTCCAGAGCTTTCCAGAGTCTATAATGTATTTCACGTGTCCATGCTATGCAAGTACAATCCAGACCCATCACACATCCTGTCCCATGAGCTCCCTTCACTTTAGGAGGATCTATCCTATGAGGATATGTCAGTGGGCATTGTAGACCAAAAAAACAGAGTACTCTGCAACAGAGAAATTTTATTCTTCAAGGTCCTATGACAGAATCACATACAAAAAGATGCTACATGGGAGCTAGAATCGAACTTTAAAGTCCAATATCACCAATTGTTCGACAAAGTGAGAGAATGACAAATTTGAGGGACCAAATTTGTTCTTAAGGGGGAGAGAGTTGTAATACCCGGGTCCAGAATTTGGCTGATGATCAATTTTAGCATTTCAAAAAAAATTAGAAAAATATTTTTAAATTATTTTAATTTTATTTTATTAAATTATTTGAGAAAAATATGTTATAGACATAATTGAATGCAATTTTAGAGAAAATGTGTGAAAATTTAAGTTCGATGGTGTTTTTAAAAGAAAAATTAGAAATAAGGGGTCAAAATACAAAAAAAAAAATTCGGCCACGTGGGACAGCCCAATTAGCAGTCCCAACGAACTAAAGCACGCTATATGGCAAAACACGCTGATGTCTGCGCCATAAGGGAGACCACGCGGGCGATCTGCATACCCAGCAATCCGACGGCCCAGGTTCGATCTCGCACGCGTG